ATGGACATTGCCCGCACGTCCATGATCCATGCCCGTGCGCCCCATTTTCTGTGGCCCTACGCGGTTCGCTACGCCGCACACCAGCTGAACCTCCAGCCGCGTGTCTCGCGGCCCGAGGCTTCACCGACCAGTCTTTGGACTGGTTCCCCTGGTGTTGGGTCGGCCTTTCGAGTCTGGGGCTGCCTTGCGCTTGTTCGCGACACCTCTGCGGACAAGCTCTCGGCACGCCCCGTCCCCTGTGTCTTCTTTGGTTTCCCAGTGGACTCTGCCGACTGGTCCTTTTACCACCCGCCCCTCCACCAGATCCTAGACTCCCGTGACGTCCGGTTTGACGAGTCTGTGTCCTACTACCCCCTCCCCCCCTTTTCCTGGCACCCTCTCCTCCTCCTGCTCTTGCTCCTCCGGTACCCCCTCCCCCCCCTGGTCCTGCCCCGTCTGGTGTGTCCCACGCTACCCCTCTACCCTTGGTCGCGCGTCAGGTAGCGTCTGCCTCCCCGCAGTCCTCCTCACAGTCCCCTTAGCAGCCTTCGGCACTTCCGCGACAGGTTCCTGTGGACTTGGTTGGTGTTGGAGCTGGAGGTGCAGCCGCTGGTGGTGCGCGGTCTGGGGGTGCTCGTTTGCGGGGTGCTGGAGCTGGAGGGGCTGGTGCAGGTGGCGCTAGCTCTGGGGGTGCTAGAGCTGGGGGTGCTGGAGTTGGAGGTGCTAGCGCTGGAGGTGCTAGTTCTGGGGGTGCTGGAGTTGGGGGTCCTGACACTGGAGGTGTTGGTTCTGGGGGTGCCGAGTCTGAGGAGACTGGAGCTGGAGACCCTGGTTCTGCGGAGTCCACTCCGCCTCCCCACCGCCACGACACGCGTCTCCAGGCTGCCCGTCGGCGTGAGCGTGAGGAGCAGGAGCGGTTGGAGAGGGAGCGGCGGGAGCTGCAGGTGCTGGACCTTTTGGAGCAACAGAGGCAGCAGCAGCAGCAGCAGCAGCAGCAGCAGCAACAGCAGCAGCAGCAGCCACAGCAGCAGCCGCAGCCGTCGCTGCAGCTGCAGCGGCAGCAGCAGCAGCGGCAGCCGCAGGCGCTTCCACAGCTTCCTCTGGAGCGGCAGTTGTTCCCACCTGTGAGTGGCCTGCGGGCCCTTGGCCTTTCCTCCTCTCCTCCTGTCCGCTCCCAGTCTCCTCCTGTGTTTGTTCCTCCGTTGCCTCCTCTTGACGACCATCCGGCGGTCTGGTCTCCTCCTCCTCCTCAGTCTCCTCCTCCTTCTGTCCGTCGCGACTTGATCACCAGTTGTCCTCTGCATGCTCGTCACTCGTCCCCTGTTACTGACCTCCACACTGCCCTCCTTTGTTCGTCTCGTGGTCGTTCTCCTTCTCCTGTGTCTGTTCTCCCATCTCCTCCTCCGTCCTCTCTCACAACCCTCCCCACTCCTATCTCTGACTACTACCGCGCTGTTCGTCTTGTTGCCGCACGTGTCCTCGTCACTCTTGTCACCAACTCTCGTTTCCCTCCGTCGTCTGCCTCGGCTCTCACTGCCGCTGTCGCTGAGTTTGCTGCCGCCAGCCGCCTTGACTACGCCACCCCTGTGGTGCCAGCTCCTCCCTCCCGTCCTCTGTCTGTCTGTCCTCTGTCCTCTGCCCTTGGCTGTGACGTCGTAGAGGACAGAGAGTCTGAGCTGGAGTACTGGGCAGCCGCTTCTCTCTCTGTGTGTGCCATGCTGCTCTCCCCTGAGAGAGACCCCGACGCCCTTGACATACCGACTCCTCGCACTTACCGCGAGGAAGTGTCAGGGGCGTGGGCCTCTCAGTGGAAAGCGGCTATGGACTCAGAGTTGGCGTCTTGGAGATCCACAGGCACCTACGTCGACGCAGTTCCCCCTCCCAGGGCGAACGTAGTCGATGGCATGTGGCTCTTCAAGGTGAAGCGGCCGCCTGGAGCACCGCCGGTGTTCAAGGCGCCCTACGTGGCTAGGAGCTTGAGTCAGCGTGAGGGAGTTGACTTCTTCCAGACCTTCGCCCCGACCTCGAAGATGACTACTCTTCGGGTGCTACTCCACATAACAGCGCAGCGAGACTACGAGCTGCACTCCCTCGACTTCTCCACTGCGTTCCTCCAGGGCCGACTGCACAAGGAGATCTGGCTGCGCCATCCTCCTGGCTTCACTGACACCTTCCCACCTGGGACCCAGTGGAGCCTGAGGCGACCAGTCTACGGTCTCCGCTAGTCGCCCCGTGAGTGGCACGACACTCTTCGCTCCACGCTTCGTGACCTTGGGTTCAGCCCGTCCTCCGCCGACCCGTCGTTGTTTGTTCGAGCGGGTTCTACTCCTTTCTTTATCCTTGTCTACGTCGACGACTTGGTGTTTCCTACCGCAGGCAGGGCAGCCCTGGCTCAGGTGAAGTCTGAACTGCAGAAGAGACAGAAGTGCACTGACCTGGGTGAGCTGCAGCGCTACCTTGGCCTGCAGATCACCAGGGACAGAGCCGCTCGCACCATCACACTGATGCAGTCACACATGGTGCAGCAGGTCCTTCGGTGGTTCGACTTCCAGTTCTCCACTGCACAACCCACTCCTCTTGCTGTTGACCACCGACTCACTGGCCCCTTTCCTGACGAGCCCTTTGAGCCCAGTGGTCCCTACGTAGAGCTTGTGGGTTGCCTCATGTACCTGATGACTTGTACTCGGCCGGACCTCGCCTTTCCCCTCAGCATCCTCTCTCGCTTTGTTGCGACTGGGAGACACCGTCCTGTCCACTGGACAGCTGCTGTGAGGGTGGCGAAGTACTTGGCGACTACATCAGGCATGGGGCTTGTGCTTGGAGGGACTCAGCCAGTGGCGTTGACTGGTCACTGCGACTCTTCCTACGCTGACGACGTGGAGACTCAGCGCTCGACTCAGGGTTACTGCTTCAGTCTGGGAGCTGGTGCTGTGTCGTGGAGGTCTACACGGTCGTCGTCTGTGGCTACTTCCAGTGCAGAGGCAGAGATCTACGCTGGTGCCATGGCGGCACAGGAGCTTCGCTGGTTGACCTTCTTGCTCGCCGACCTTGGTGAGCGGCCTCGCTCTGCACCGACCTTGTACGCTGACAACAAGGCCATGATCCTCCTGTGTCAAGAGCCTCGACTGGAGAGCAGAGTGAAGCATATTGACGTGAGGTGCTTCCTCCTGCGAGAGCTGCAGCGACGCGGCCAGGCACGCCTGGACTTTGTGGCCTCAGAGGCCAACACTGCAGACGTCTTCACCAAGGCCTTGGCGCTTGGTGATCACCACAGGTTCTGTGTGCAGTTGGGGCTTGTTGAGGTAGGCCCTCGGTTGCTGCAGTCTTGTTGTTTGCTCTGCTTGTTGTGCTTCCTATTTATATCCTAGTGAACTCTTGAACTGGCCTTGTGGCCGCTTGCTTGCGCTCGGAATTTGTGTGGTGTCCTTGAGATCCACCCTGAGCTTGCCTTGCTTCTTGCTTTGACTGGTCTTGTGACCGTTTGTTCACCTTGCTTGCTTTGATGCCCCTCACTTAGCCTATGGGGGTGTGTCAAATGTAATTCTATGCTTGTAGGCTACAATGAGTAGCACAATAGGGAGTACAGTTGTTAGGGTTGCATATTTGTACTCTCACACTTTCTAGTTTCGATCATTCCGTTGCATTCCTATTCTAAAAGTTGCGTCGCAGGATTTTGTGTTGCGTTTCGTTTTGACACTGAAGCTACAGTGCTTGACGCTCTAAATTCCGCGCGCTTCATGTTGACACTGCCATGTTGACATGTCATCCCCACGGTCACGAACTCAGAGTTCCCAAAAAAACAACTCTGGAAATCCCAAAAAAACAACTCTGGAAATTCAGAGTAGTAAAAATAAAAAATAAGCCCTGGGCCACACCCCGAATTACACAACGAAGTCAACGAAAAAATTGTAGGTTCGGAAAATCCCAGAAGGAGGTTTGGTGGGAAAATCGAGAACCAATCGCGTAAAAAACCCACTCAAAACTTTCGACCAGTCACATGAAAGTGGTGACAGTTATGGGGCCGACACGGTAATTTTGGATGTGTCCTTTAAACACAAACATCCCTGCTTGAATGACACTATCTCAAGTTCTGTACAACCTCCAGCAGCATTGCCATGACAGCTGAGTGCTGCCGCAGATGCGGGAGGAGGAGCGCCAGCAGCAGCGGTAGCGGGAGGGGCGGGGGAGAGTGGTGCATGAGTGGAAGCGGCAGAGGCAGGTGGGGAGCACGAGGCCATAGCCGTGTGCAGGGCGCGGCCCAGAGAGAGTGGAGAGGGGAAGGCAAACGCAAGGAGGATGAGCGGGAAGAGTTGACTGCCTGGTTGCTCCTGCGTGGTATCTGCCAATGGCCTGCTCATGCTGCCTGATGCTTCTGCTGCTGTTGCTGCCCCCGCCAAGTCTGATGCCTGCTGCTCCTGTTGCCGCCACAGGAGCAGGGCCCGGCGGGAGTAGTCTTCCAGGTGTTGGCGCAGGAGGGGCGAGGTTGAGTGAGAGCGGGTGCGGTGAGCGGGTGCAAGCAGGTGACGGTGGAGGGTGGAGCAGAGGGAGCGGAGAAACAGCGGGCTCACGATGGGCGATTGGGGAGGACTGGCACGGTGGGAAAGGGTGGGCGAGGAGAGTGCACGGAGCGATGGAATGAAGGCTTCCAACACCTGGGATGACGTAATCAGGGCGAGGTGTGGGAAGGTGGGGGGTGGGGGCAGGCACGGGTGGATTCAAGGCGAACAACTCGTCACTTTTCAAACGGGCCCAGACTGTTCAGAAGGGGAGAAGTGAAGTGTGATGGGGAGAAGCGTGGGACGGAAAGGAGTGACATTGAGGCAAAAGCACAGGGCCACGCATGCTCGGAGCCCGTGCCCTGGGCCCTGAAAGCTGAGAAACGACCAGAGCCCACGTGCTGCCATACGCCACTGTTTCGCTGCCTTTGGTCCCGATTCCATCGAGGCTACGGCTCAAGGTGCCTTTGGTCCAATTCCATCGAGGCTACGGCTCAAGGTGCCTTTGGTCCAATTCCATCGAGGCTACGGCTCAAGGTGCCTGCGATGGAATTCCATCGTGTTGCCATACGCCACTGTTACGGTGCTTGATGTGCCAGCGATGCCACAACTCGCCCCTTGACCCTCGGCTTTGCAAGGCTGTGTGGAGGGAAATGAAGTTGCGGGTGAGAGGCAGGAGGAGGTCACCTGGAAGGAGGAGACGAGGCAGGGCAGTGCGGAGCCACAGGTGGTGTGCGAGTGATGCAGCGAGCGCACGGCCTGGCAGGTGGTGGCGAGAGAGAGGAGTACCTGGCGGGGGGAGGTGGGGGCAGAGAGAGGGCACGTGGGAGAATGAATGTTGTACAACTAAGCCCACACACATCTGATCACCGCCACAGTAGTTGAATTGAGTTGATAGAATCCAGGCACACACAAGGAGCAGTGTGGTGTGGCGTGGTGCAATGTGGTGTGGAGTGCTCACCTCCAGCAGCTCCGGCTGCTCCGCTGCGTGCGCCATGAGCAGCGCTGCCTGGCAAGCCGATGAGAAGCCCTCATGGCTGCATGTGGATGGGGGAGGGAGGGAGGGCAGTGAGACCAAAGGCCGGTGGGCGGAAGTGTTAGAATCAGCCCCATCATGTATCATACACACACTCGATGGGACTTGGTTAGCTATTAACATCCGGAATCATCTTGGGTGTATAGCTAGTAATTATCCTAAATTAAAGGGTTCGGTCAAACCTAGGCTCCGACATTGTGCTCCAAAATGGTTGGGCCCCTCAATTATTGTGGACCCCAACTTGTTGCGGGGACCAATGATTGAGCCACGCCCATTGCCCAACTACTTTCCATCTCCTCACCTATGTATCCCCCCATTTTTCTTGATCAACCTATCATTCAGTTTTCTCACAAGAAGTAGGACATATGGACGTGTATGAAGAGCAAACTGGGTGAGAGCAGAGGGAGGCTGTGAATATGAGTGATGGATGGAGGCGTGGTGTGACGAGAGAGGAGTGGCAGCGTGGTGGAGCGGTGCAGAACTAGGGGTGCAGTGGGTGCGGGGAAGGAGAGAAACTGCCCACCTTGAGGTTGCATGCGGTTGAACAGCGGAGCGCGGCAGGGGGCGGCAGAAGAGGCGGTGGAAGGCGGATAGGACGGGGTCGGCCACTGGCAGGGGCGGCTGCCATGCTCCGCGCTGAGACGGGCCGGCAACTGGCCGAGCGAGGCCAAGGGGAATGTGTGGAGGGACGTGTGTGAGATGACGGGTGTGAGGTTGGGTGAAAGAGACAGGGGGGGGAAGAGGTGGGTGTGCAGAGTGTATAGGGGTGCGTGGTCATGCAAGGTAGGAGGGGCATGTAGAATAAGTGAGGGAAAGGAGAGTATGCAGGGCAGAGGGATGGAGGGAGAGATGGCCAGGGATGCACGGGACGGCAAAGGGCGGGGAAAGAAGGGGGAAGGGTGATGGGGGAGTGGGATGATGGGGGAGTGGGATGATGGGGGAGTGGGATGATGGGGGAGTGGGGGAAGGGATGATGGGGGAGTGGGGGAAGGGATGATGGGGGAGTGGGGGAAGGGATGATGGGGGAAGTAGGGGAAGGGATGATGAGGGAGTGGGGGAAGGGATGATGGGAGAGTGGGGGAAGGGATGATGGGGGAGTGGGGGAAAGGAAGGATTGAGAGGGAATTGCAGAATGAGAGAAAGCGGGAGGCAATGAGAAGGTGATGAGAGCAGTTGCCAATGCATGCAAGACAGCTCTAGCTGGATGCAAGACAGCACTAGCTGGATGCAAGACAGCACTAGCTGGATGCAAGACAGCTCTAGCTGGATGCAAGACAGCACTAGCTGGATGCAAGACAGCTCTAGCTGGATGCAAGACAGCACTAGCTGGATGCAAGACAGCACTAGCTGGATGCAAGACAGCTCTAGCTGGATGCAAGACAGCTCTAGCTGGATGCAAGACAGCTCTAGCTGGATGCAAGCCAGCTCTAGCTGGATGCAAGACAGCACTAGCTGGGTGCAAGACAGCACTAGCTGGATGCAAGACAGCTCTAGCTGGATGCAAGACAGCTCTAGCTGGATGCAAGACAGCTCTAGCTGGATGCAAGACAGCTCTAGCTGGATGCAAGACAGCTCTAGCTGGATGCAAGCCAGCTCTAGCTGGATGCAAGACAGCACTAGCTGGGTGCAAGACAGCTCTAGCTGGATGCAAGACAGCACTAGCTGGATGCAAGACAGCACTAGCTGGATGCAAGACAGCTCTAGCTGGATGCAAGACAGCTCTAGCTGGATGCAAGACAGCTCTAGCTGGATGCAAGCCAGCTCTAGCTGGATGCAAGACAGCACTAGCTGGGTGCAAGACAGCACTAGCTGGATGCAAGACAGCTCTAGCTGGATGCAAGACAGCTCTAGCTGGATGCAAGACAGCTCTAGCTGGATGCAAGACAGCTCTAGCTGGATGCAAGACAGCTCTAGCTGGATGCAAGACAGCACTAGCTGGATGCAAGACAGCACTAGCTGGATGCAAGAGGCCAAGGCTGTGTTGTGGGAGTGAAGATTGCAAGTCTCAAGTGCTGTAATGAAGGGGAAAGCGGGGAAGGGGCAGTGAGCGGGGCAGGGAGCATGCAAGCGCACATGATCGCTCACCTCCCCCATGCGGGACCTGGGGTCTCCTGTCCTGCCCACTGCTGCAGCACCCCCACCGCTGCCAGCCTGTGCCCCCCGCCCCTTCACCAGCAGCACCAGGTGCCGGCCCCCACTGCCCTCCCCACCTACACCCGCTCCCATTGCGCTCCCCACCGCCTTCCGCCCCCCACCCCCCCCTGCAGCGACTGCACCATGCCCCCCTCGCCGCCTCCCCCTCATGGCTCGCAGGGACGGGTGGGAAGAGTCTGCAGTGGGGGAGGAGAGGAGAGCAGAACGGAGCAGCGGAGGGAGTAGAGTCATTAATGGAGGTCAGAAGTGTGTGTGCGATATAGGGAAGAGAAAAAAAAAATCATAACTGGGCAGAAGTGAGGACGACAGGAGCGCAAGGAGAATTGGAAAAAGAGAGGAAGGAGCAAAGGCAAAGGAAAAACACTGATGAGGAATGGGACGTAGGGGGGGGATACAATACAGGGACGCACACGCACTTGGTACGTACGACCCACCTCACTCGCACCATGCCACATGGCATTTCCCATGCAACCACTCGCACCATGCCACATGGCATTTCCCATGCAACCACTCGCACCATGCCACATGGCATTTCCCATGCAACCACTCGCACCATGCCACATGGCATTTCCCATGCAACCACTTGCACCATGCCACATGGCATTTCCCATGCAACCACTCGCACCATGCCACATGGCATTTCCCATGCAACCACTCGCACCATGCCACATGGCATTTCCCATGCAACCACTCGCACCATGCCACATGGCATTTCCCATGCAACCACTCGCACCATGCCACATGGCATTTCCCATGCAACCACTCGCACCATGCCACATGGCATTTCCATGCAACCACTCGCACCATGCCACATGGCATTTCCCATGCAACCACTCGCACCATGCCACATGGCATTTCCATGCAACCACTCGCACCATGCGACATGGCATTCCCATGCAACCACTCGCACCATGCCACATGGCATTTCCCATGCAACCACTCGCACCATGCCACATGGCATTTCCCATGCAAACCACTCGCACCATGCCACATGGCATTTCCCATGCAACCACTCGCACCATGCCACATGGCATTTCCCATGCAACCACTCGCACCATGCCACATGGCATTTCCCATGCAACCACTCGCACCATGCGACATGGCATTTCCCATGCAACCACTCGCACCATGCCACATGGCATTTCCCATGCAACCACTCGCACCATGCCACATGGCATTTCCCATGCAACCACTCGCACCATGCCACATGGCATTTCCCATGCAACCACTCGCACCATGCCACATGGCATTTCCCATGCAACCACTCGCACCATGCCACATGGCATTTCCCATGCAACCACTCGCACCATGCCACATGGCATTTCCCATGCAACCACGCAAGCCACCCACATGCATGCCACATACATGCCCCATGCATGCTGTATGCATGCCACATGCACGCCAAATGCATGCCACATGCACGCCAAATGCATGCCCCCATGCTGCCTGCCACACCACATGCATGCCCCCATACTGCCTGCCACAGCACATGCATGCTCCATGCACACCACACGGGCACAGACCTGCTATCCTCGCATGGGCACAGACCTGCTATCCTCGCATGGGCACAGACCTGCTATCCTCGCATGGGCACAGACCTGCTATCCTCGCATGGGCACAGACCTGCTATCCTCGCATGGGCACAGACCTGCTATCCTCGCATGGGCACAGACCTGCTATCCTCGCTGCCACTCGCAGCGGCCAGAAGTTGCCGCCACACAGCCGCAGCTCCCTCAGCTGATGGGAGTGGGGGAACGGGGAGGGAAGGATGGGGAGGAAAGAGAGGGAGGCAGAAAGTGAGGCGGGTAGGTGGGGGCGGCAGGGAGAGGGAAGGATGGGGTGACAGCAGGCAGCAGAAGAGGGAAGGATGGGGTGACAGCAGGCAGCAGAAGAGGGAAGGATGGGGTGACAGCAGGCAGCAGAAGAGGCATGGCAGCGTGGCATAGTGAGTTAGTTGGAGGGCATGTGTACATCCCATGTGTGCTTGCTTCCCAGAGCTGCCTTTCTTCAACACCTGCAGCAAGAGCAGCACCTGAACCCAGTGGAAAGATCATTTGAGGCGAATGAGAGAGCACCTGAGGCGAATGAGAGAGCACCTGAGGCGAATGAGAGAGCACCTGAGGCAGCGGCGGCAGCAGGCACGGCGTGTGCAGCGACAGCGCGGTTGGAGTGGACGAGTCAGAGGGCTTGAGGGTGAGGTGCAGTGGAGCAATGACAGGCTGCCACGTGTCCACATCCACAGCCTCCACGAACGCCCTCTCCTCCACCGCCAGCACCCAGAAATGCCGCAACGCCTGGCATGGTGAGGGGGGGGGAGAGGAGACGGGGGAATGGGGAGGAGGACGAGAGGGGAGGGGGACGAGAGGGGTGAGGGGTGAGGAAGGCAGACAGGTGTGAGAGGGGAAGAAGGGAAAGCATTGTTTGCAATGCACCTTAATGTTCTGATCTGACTCTATCGCTCAAGCCTCCCTATTCCAGGGGCTGAGAGGTGAGAGCTCCAACCCTAACAGCAAGTCAGGGCCATAAGATTGGCAGGGCAGTTGGTGCACCCGGAAAATTTCAAGCGACAGCAGCTGAGCCAAATAGTAATAGCCTCCTCCCTCCCTCCTTGCCTTTTCTTCATGAATTGACAATCCCCACCTAGTGCCCTTGTTTTGTGACAAAACGACTGCCCCATACCCCCCTGCTCTCCCCCTGCTCCCTTGTTTCCTTGTTTTGCTTTCTCTCGTCCACCTCCTCTACTTTCCAAACTCCTTTCACAGCCGCCTGTCGCCTGCCCTTCCAAACACACCACACAACTGCCCGCATGGCACAGCAAGGAGCAGCTTACCTGCAGGTGGCAGCGGTGGTCGGCGGGCGAGGAGGGGAAGTGCGGGAAGAGCGCGAGCAGCAGCGCCGCCACAGCAGGGGGCGACGTGGAGAAGGTGGCCTGGCAGGCACTCAGGCCCAGGAAACCGATTGCCATGCTCACCTGAGAGGGGGAGGAGAGGGGGAGGTGGAGTTACAATTGGAGGTGGCAGGATATTGGGAGAGGGAAGGATTGAAGGAAGTGAGGGCAAGGGAGGAGCAGGGGCAGCAGCGGTACTTTTGCACTCTCAGATGCTGGTAGTGGCCTCAGGCCCATCCTATGCATGAGATTACCACAATGCAGCCCAAGACTGCCATGCCATGCAGCATACCGCCATGTGTGAGCCATAGGTGGTAGCGGCGTTGACAGCAGCGGCATCGGCAGCAGCAGCGGTGCGACGGTGGAAAAAACGCAGCAGACGCAGCGACGGCAGATGGCCCGTTCCTGCCATGACCTGGCAGGATGAGATGGGGAGAAAGGGGGAGGAGTTGAGTGGGAGGTGAGGGAAGTGGTTACGAACAGAGAAGGAAGAAAAGAATGGAAGAAGAAAACATGGATAAATGGCAGGAGCAAGAGAGTGTTGAAAAGGAAGGGTGGGTTGGGGAGAACAGCAAAGTGTAGGAGGGCGAGGGAGAGCAGAATGAACGAAGGAGGGCAAAGCGAAGGAGAGGCAGTAGAGCGTACAAGGGAGAGGGAGAGCACGGCAGCGCTGACAGCGGTGTTGGGGCAGGAAAGAAGAGAGGAAGTATCAGAACGTGGGTATGGAACAGGGAGAAAGGAAAGGGGCACGATTGTGTAGCGAGAAAGGGGAGTGGGTTGGGGAGAGCAGAGCAGAACGTAGAAGGGAGAGCAAAGTGTAGGAGGGAGAGCAGAGTGTAGGAGGGGCAGCAGCAGAGCATACAAGGGAGAGGGAGAGCACGGCAGCGTTGACAGCGGTGTCAAGGGTGCACGCGTCCAGCAGCGCCCGCCAGTGCAGCAGCGGCACGGCGAACGGGCAGGCCACGGCCGTGAGGGGACGGCGCTGCAGTGAGGGCGGGATGGGGAGAGGAAGATGGGGCGAGGGAGGGGGATGGGGCGAGTGAGGGGGGGTGGGATGAGGGGGATGGGGTGAGGGAGATAGGAAGGGGAGGGAAGAAAAGAGCAGAGAGTGAATGCACCACACATGGGCATGATTCTTGGAAGCACACATATGGAAAATGCCCTTCTTGGCACCACCTCCTCTACCATCGCCCTCCTCCCTCCACAGCCCATATCCCAAGCGCTAATCACCTCTCTGCGTGCCTCTCACCTCTCTGCGTGCCTCTCACCTCTCCGCGTGCCTCTCACCTCTCGGAGGAAGAAGAACAGCAGCGCGTAGCTTCGGAGAAGCTTCTCTGCTTCACCATTGGCTGAACCTGCATAGCGCAGCCCTGTGTGGGGGAGAGGGGAGGAGACAGAGATGGGGGACGGAAAGACAGAGTGAAGACACGTGAGGAGGTGGAGTGAAGGCAGCGAGAGAAGAAAAGGGGTGGGAGGATGGAGGTGTGACAGGAGGGAAAGTGTGGCAGTGGGAGAAGGTGCAATCGTGGGTGGAGGGAAGGTGCGACGGTGAATAGACACATGCAGACTTGCACCATGTCCTTCCCTGCACGCTATCACACCCCATCCCCCATCCACACATTGTCTATCCCCAAACCCTACTCAGCCTGCCCACAGCCCGGCACCCAGGCCAGTGGCATGGTGCGACTCACCGATGGAGAGGCAGCACGTGGCATGGTGCGACTCACCGATGGAGAGGCAGCACGTGGCATGGTGCGACTCACCAATGGAGAGGCAGCACGTGGCATGGTGCGACTCACCGATGGAGAGGCAGCACGTGGCATGGTGCGACTCACCGATGGAGAGGCAGCATCCTGCCAGCACATTGCACAGCGCCAAAGCCATCGCCTCCTCATCCACATCCGCCTCCCCCTCCCCTCCGCCCTCCCTCGCCCCTTTCCCCACGCCCCCCTCCCCCTCATTTTCCCCCGCACCCCTCTCTTCTTCCCCTCCCCCAGTGGCAGCAGCGGCAGTGCGGATGATGCGCGGCACCTGTGCTGCCACCCACTCCTCGATGGCTGCACGCTGCAGTGGTGGGTGGGTTGGGGCGGGGTTGGGGTGGGGACGAGGGATAAGGTGGGAATGGGGGTTAGGGATGTGGGGGGGTAGGAGTTGACCAATGGGGAGGAGGAAAGGCGGATTTTGGGCTTGAGGAAAGAAAAGGTAAACCATTTCTTCTCTTCCATGGTTTGAACCACGGCTTGGGTCACAGCTTGGACCACCCCACGGCCCTTACTCATGGCCAGCGTGGCGTATACCCCATCACACATACAACAAAAATCACATTCATGCTAGCTGAATACATGTGGGTTCCCATTCTGCATGAGGCTTGAGCGCACGAGGATGAGCGCACCTGTCCCAGAGGATGAGCGCACCTGTCCCAGAGGATGAGCGCACCTGTCCCAGAGGATGAGCGCACCTGTCCCAGAGGATGAGCGCACCTGTCCCAGAGGATGAGCGCACCTGTCCCAGAGGATGAGCGCACCTGTCCCAGAGGATGAGCGCACCTGTCCCAGAGGATGAGCGCACCTGTCCCAGAGGATGAGCGCACCTGTCCCAGAGGATGAGCGCACCTGTCCCAGAGGATGAGCGCACCTGTCCCAGAGGATGAGCGCACCTGTCCCAGAGGATGAGCGCACCTGTCCCAGAGGATGAGCGCACCTGTCCCAGAGGATGAGCGCACCTGTCCCAGAGGATGAGCGCACCTGTCCCAGAGGATGAGCGCACCTGTCCCAGAGGATGAGCGCACCTGTCCCAGAGGATGAGCGCACCTGTCCCAGAGGATGAGCGCACCTGTCCCAGAGGATGAGCGCACCTGTCCCAGAGGATGAGCGCACCTGTCCCAGAGGATGAGCGCACCTGTCCCAGAGGATGAGCGCACCTGTCCCAGAGGATGAGCGCACCTGTCCCAGAGGATGAGCGCACCTGTCCCAGAGGATGAGGGAGCACGCGAGGACGCGCAGGAGGATGAAGTCGGGGCGCACAAACTCGAGGGCGAAGTGCGTTGCTGGCGGGGCCAGGCGCGCCGCCACCGCCTCGTTGTTGGGACTGCCGGGGTGCGCGTCGGTGGGGGGGGTGGATGGCCGGGGGGAGGATGGGTTACAGGGGAAGGGATGTCGGTGGGGGGGGGGGGGGGGGTGGGAGGAAGAAGGAAATTGTACAGGAGGGGAGCAAGCGTACAGAGGGAGCTGCCTTTGGATGCCTTTAACACAGAATGGAGAAATTTGTTTACAACCTAAGGAGCAGGAGTCCACCTGAAGGTACATCATGGCAAGGGCGAGAATTGCTCCTGGTGCCGTGACATCCACGTTGGGTGTGTTGCCCTCCAGCACCTGTTGGTCGGTGAAGTGCGGTGGCACCACCACCCATGATGGCGGCAAGGGCATGCATGCATAGTTAGAAGGACTTGTTGAGGTAGCTGTGTTGGGTGTAATGCGGGTGAACGAACACCTTGTTGTGGTGTGAACGAAACACCCTGTTTGTGGTGAAAGAACACCCTGTTTGTGGTGAACGAACACCCTGTTCGTGGTGAACGAACACCCTGTTCGTGGTGAACGAACACCCTGTTCGTGGTGAAACGAACACCCTGTTCGTGGTGAACGAACACCTGTTCGTGGTGAACGAACACCCTGTTCGTGGTGAACGAACACCCTGTTCGTGGTGAACGAACACCCTGTTCGTGGTGAACGAAAACACCTGTTCGTGGTGAACGAACACCCTGTTCGTGGTGAACGAACACCCTGTTCGTGGTGAACGAACACCCTGTTCGTGGTGAACGACACCCTGTTCGTGGTGAACGAACACCCTGTTCGTGGTGAACGAACACCCTGTTCGTGGTGAACGAACACCCTGTTCGTGGTGAACGAACACCCTGTTCGTGGTGAACGAACACCCTGTTCGTGGTGAACGAACACCCTGTTCGTGGTGAACGAACACCCTGTTCGTGGTGAACGAACACCCTGTTCGTGGTGAACGAACACCCTGTTCGTGGTGAACGAACACCCTGTTCGTGGTGAACGAACACCCTGTTCGTGGTGAACGAACACCCTGTTCGTGGTGAACGAACACCCTGTTCGTGGTGAACGAACACCCTGTTTGTGGTGAACGAACACCCTGTTCGTGGTGAACGAACACCCTGTTCGTGGTGAACGAAACACCCTGTTGTGGTGAACGAACACCCTGTTCGTGGTGAACGAACACCCTGTTCGTGGTGAACGAACACCCTGTTTGTGCGGTGAACGAACACCCTGTTTGTGGTGAACGAACACCCTGTTCGTGGTGAACGAACACCCTGTTTGTGGTGAACGAACACCCTGTTTGTGGTGAACGAACACCCTGTTCGTGGTGAACGAACACCCTGTTTGTGGTGAACGAACACCCTGTTCGTGGTGAACGAACACCCTGTTCGTGGTGAACGAACACCCTGTTCGTGGTGAACGAAAACCCTGTTCGTGGTGAACGAACACCCTGTTCGTGGTGAACGAACACCCTGTTCGTGGTGAACGAACACCCTGTTCGTGGTGAACGAACACCCTGTTCGTGGTGAACGAACACCCTGTTCGTGGTGCACGAACACCTGTTCGTGGTGAACGAAACACCCTGTTCGTGGTGAACGAAACCCTGTTTGTGGTGAACGAACACCCTGTTCGTGGTGAACGAACACCCTGTTCGTGGTGAACGAACACCCTGTTCGTGGTGAACGAACACCCTGTTTGTGGTGAACGAAACACCCTGTTCGTGGTGAACGAACACCCTGTTCGTGGTGAACGAACACCCTGTTCGTGGTGAACGAACACCCTGTTCGTGGTGAACGAACACCCTGTTCGGTGTGTGGTGAACGAACACCCTGTTCGTGGTGAACGAACACCCTGTTCGTGGTGAACGAAACACCCTGTTCGTGGTGAACGAACACCCTGTTCGTGGTGAACGAACACCCTGTTCGTGGTGAACGAACACCCTGTTCGTGGTGAACGAACACCCTGTTCGTGGTGAACGAACACCTGTTCGTGGTGAACGAACACCCTGTTCGTGGTGAACGAACACCCTGTTCGTGGTGAACGAACACCCTGTTTGTGGTGAACGAACACCTGTTCGTGGTGAAACGAACACCCTGTTCGTGGTGAACGAACACACTCTGTCGTGGTGAACGAACACCCTGTTTCCGCGCCCAGATCTGGATTCCGCGCCACCCATCTCCTCCTCCAGCGCCCAGATCTGCACCTCCAGCGCCCAGATCTGCCTCCAACGCCCAGATCTGCACCTCCAGCGCCCAGATCTGCAACTCCAGCGCCAGATCTGCACCTCCAGCGCCCAGATCTGACACCTTCGCGACCAGATCTACTCCTCCCGCGCCAGATCTGATCATTCCGCGCCCAGATCTGGATTCCGCGCCACCAGAATCTCCTCTCCCGCACCCAGATCTGCACTCCGCCCGCCCAGTCCGCCCTCCACGCGCCCAGATCTGCCTCCGCGCGCCCAGATCTGCCCTCCCCCATAGCATCGCCCTCCTTTCCCCCAACCAACCCACCTCCGCTCTCCCTTCCTCCTCCCATCCTACCAGCAGCAGCACCTGCAGCGGCACCACCAGCAGCACCCTTCCCCCTGCATTCCCCATAGCATCGCCCTCCTCCTCCTCCACCTTCCTCACCTCGCTCCTCCCTTCCTCCTCCTCCATCCTACCCGCAGCAGCATCCGCAGCGGCACCAGCAGCAGAACCAGCACGCGGCACGGGCAGCAGGGCCAGCTAGCAGCTGGCAACGGTACCCTCACACCATCCTCCTCTGCCCTAGCCTCGACCCACCCTCATCTCTATGGCACGTCGTCGATCCGTTCGTCGTCGACCTGCCACTGTTGATGCACTCGAGTTGCTGCCTGACAACTGCTGCTAATTGGCACTCTTATGCTCATTCCGTCGAGGTGTTCTCCTCTCCTGTGTGTGGTCAGCGGCTAAAACCTTCGCTCGGTTGTCTTTCAGGAAGGCGGGGACTTCAGCCCGCGGCCACCCACGCGCTCTACTGACAGAACTTGCTCCTGCCCACCCTGGCGCCGAGCCCTCTCCCCCCGGTGATCCTCCCGCCTTGCGCCGAATGTGAACGACCGCCAGAGCTCGGAAAACCGCCATTCGCGCCCTACCGCACCAATCTCCAAGAGCACCTGCGCCTGCAACTGCGTACAGGATGAGCGCAGGCGCATCTATGACGACGCGCTGCCCGCTACAACAAAGTACCAGGAGGACCTGGCCACAGACCTACACTGCAGAACTTGCAGACTACACCACGAAAATTACTGCCTGGGGTTGCTGATGACGTGTCACGTGCGCTTGCCATTCTTCTCGCCACCATCCCCTCTCCCCCAAACGCGAGCTCTCACCTACCTCCTCCTCCCACCTGTGGCGACTGCTGGTCGACCTTTTCGATCGGCAGGACGTTGCCACTCTTTACGCCCTTATCCGGAGTTTGGAACTCTCTCCATGGATTCCACTTCTGGCGCAGCTGCTTTCACTCGCCGTGTCTTAGACTTTCTCGGCGCCTTGCAGCACTCGATGTGGTGTACCCGGACACCGTCATCTGCTGCCACCTCCTCGAGGGCCTCACACCTGCCTTCGACGCTCACAAGCTTGCTTACATGCAGCTTATCTCCAAGCACCACACACCCTGCCGAAGTCGCTCAGTGGATTATCACCACCGAAGCTGAGATCCTTCGCCACTCTTCCTCCACAGCCGCAGCAGCCCAGTCGCGCAGCAACCGGGGTGGCCGTGGCGGTGGGCGTGGGGGTGGGCGTGGTGGTGCGCGTGGGGGTGGACGAGGGGGATCAGTAGGTCGCGGTGGTGCTGGCAGCAGTGGTGCGGGTGTGGTACGGCAGCTGCCTTTCCTCCTTGTCAGTATCTGCCTCGCTACGGTCCCACTCAGGGACAGCGCTGCGGCCAAACTACCATGCCACTGAGACGTGCTTCAAGGCACTCAGTGATGAGTGGTTTGCCCGTGGCAACACCGGCACCCCTCCTCGCTGGTCCGCCCTCAACCCTCGCCCCACTCCTTGAGGTCCGTTCCTCTCCCCTCTATGAACCTCCCTCCTCCACCCACGCTCACCAGGCCCTCGCCCCTCCCCAGCAGCAGCACCAGCAGCAGCAACAGCAGCAGCAGTTGCTGGGAATCAGCAGCAGGGGTCACAGCAGTATGGGCAGCAGCTTCTCCTCTCTCAGCTCCAGCAGCAGCTCCAGCATCTCCAGCAGCAGCTCGACCTCCAGCCGCAACTGCCCCTCCTCCCTCCTCCTCCGGTTTCCCAGCAACAGCACTTTCCTACCTGGACTGCTGGGAGTGCTGCCTCTGCAGCCCATCTCTCGGGTGCATCCCCGGCGCCGTCTGCAGGTGGCAGTGTGACCGCTTTCCCTTCCTCTGGTTTTGTTGGTTTATTAGGTCAACCTGAATCTGTTGCATCTCCCATGTACCCTTCTTCTGCTAATGAAACTTCGTTCCAGTACTCTGTCTCACCTTCTTCCACCATTGACTTCGTTCTGGACAGTGGAGCCACTGACACTGTCCTTCGCGACGCTGGTACACTGCGCCTCTCCCACACCAACCTCCCTCCTCGGCGCTGATAGCAGTTTTCCATCCCCTGTCACAACACCTCACCCTTCCCTGTCCTCTCTTTCCCTCAGGTACTGTCACCGGTCTCCACATTCCCTCCCTTCGTACTAACCTCCTCTCCCAAAGGTCCCTCCAACAAGCCATGATCACCACTCTCATCCCAGGTGGTGCTAACCATTGTGACCTATACCAAACCTCCACAGGTCGTTTTCTCGCCCGTATTCCCTATTGTCCTCGCTCCCGTCTGTACACCCTTCGGGTTCCCCGCCCCCTCACCTTCCAAGTTGCCTCCCCCCCCTCCTTCCCCCCCCCCCCTCCCCTTCCTCCCACTAACCCACCCCTCCCCCCCCCCCTCCTGACTCTGACTGTTCCTGTCGCTCCCTCTCCACCCCACCATCCTCCTCCATCACAGGCTAGGCCACCCCAACTTCGCTACTCTGCGCTCCTCTGTCTCCTCCGGTCTCCTCCACGGTCTCCCTCCTCCCTCCCTCCCCTCCCCAAATCCCCTGCACCCCCCTGCACCGTCTGCGTTCAGAGCAAGCTCAAGCAGCAGCCGCACCGGAGCTCCCCCTCCGCTGCTGCGCAGCCACTTGATCTTGTTCACATGGACCTATGGGGCCCTAATCCCTCTCCCACTCGCCAGGGCCATCGCTACCTTCTCGTGCTTGTTGATGATCACAGTCGGTACTCATCCGTCTCTCTCCTTCGAACGAAGGCGGATGCCCCGGCAGCGATCATCGCCTGGCTCGAGCGGGCAAACACCATTTTGGACGCCCTGTTCGCCGCCTTCACTCTGATG